CAGGAAAAATTAATGTTTGCTCGCTTACATAACATGAAATATGATGAAACCTCATTCTAGTAGTAACATAGACAAAAGATCCTTGTGTAATTACACAGAACCCGTTACTCACCCTAAAACTACCTTGAACACAATACATAAGCGACAAACATAGGTTTTTAATGGTAAGACCTCATAGTGAAGCATCTGGTATCAACACAACTGATCCAGTTGTTTGTCGGTTCTCAAGTGCTGTTTGAGCCTCAGCTGCTTGTGACAGTAGAAACTTATGATTAACACGAACCCGTAAAACACCTGAAGCAACATTTGCAAATAACTCTCCAGCAGCTTCTAGAAGCTCATCCCGAGTTATGGTGTAATGCATAAGGGTGGGTCTTGTTAAGAAGAGGGATTTTGCTGCAATCGCTGACAATGGAACAGGATCTGGTGAACCTGAAGACTGACCAAACAGTACCATGTATCCTCGGAGTTTCAAGCATTCCAGTGATCCCTGAAAACAAAACAATTTCAGTATACATGGTTCAGCATATGGATGTTTTTATTTTATTTATTTATTTATTTTTAAATATATTATTTAGATTAAGCAGAAAAAGCATCTTAATGGAACTACAGTATATAGGTAGGTCTGGAAAGCACCAACAAAATCACAAGGGAATATAAGCTAATTACTTCATATATTCTAAACAACCCCAACATGCAAATAAGCTCATAAGTAGGTTCCTTTGTTTGAGAATTCAGAAAGCTTGGAATAAACAGATTAAATTCAAAAATACACAAGTCTACGAAGCTGCAGGGTCCAGCCGTCCAGGTAGAAAAGCCCAACCCTGGTTTGATTTATGGTGGATAAGAGTTCATTTTTGTTGAATGTAGTGAGAAACATGGCGACGATAACACCTTTTTTTTCTGGAGGGAAGAGGGGGGTGGGAGTAAAACCTAAAAAATTAATTTGAAGTTCCTTCTCTTAAGGTAAATCGTGAAGACCTCATAAATTCAGTATGGGTGCCAAATTTCTCACAATGGTGGACATTACCTGAAAAGTGTCTTTTCCAACAGAATCATAGACAACTTCTACCCCTTGGCCAGCTGTTATATCTTTAACACAAGACACAAAATCTTCTTCCTTGTAGATTATCACATGGTGACAACCATCTTCTCTAGCTTGAGCGGCTTTCTCTTCTGTTGAGACAGTGCCAATGACGGTAGCACCAAGGGCATTTGCCCATTGGCATAACAGAGATCCTACCCCTCCCGCAGCCGCATGTACAAGAACAGTATGCCCAGCTTCAACCTATGATTTCATAAGTTGGAAGAATAGACAATATTATAGCATATAACAACCATTTCCTCTGATCATTCTTAAATTTGGATCTGAATAATGCAAAAATCAAGAAAAATCTCTTCTTAAAAATATACTTGTGATACTGTTTGTGCCTATAATAGAAATACATTAAGATGATACTTGCTACACATGTTCTCTACAGTAGAGAACTAGAGGTAGACTTCATGAGTGATTCATGAGGTAAATGTTCTCATATGCAAGCTACTTATGACTTACTTTGTATAAACAAGTAAAAAGAGAATTCAGAGCATTGCTTTTGCCAATGATAACTGACATGAGTGGTGTGCTAATAACTGTCATCAGAATAAATGTTGAATAGCATGCTTAGACGTATAAAACTAGGTCATTATCATGGGCGAGCAGAACTTCATTTACAAATACACACCATAAATAAGGGAAGAGTATGAGAACCAAGTCCTAGTCAGAATTTCATTCAGAGATGGTAAATTTACGATTTAACAGGCCTATAGTCAATAATCACATAGAGTGTGTACCTTGAAGCTGCTACGGACTAAATATTGAGCTGTCAATCCCTTGAGCATGATAGATGCTGCAGTGATAGGATCAACAGAAGGCGGAACAGGGACAGCTCTGTCAGCAGGAAGGATCTGCTCCTCAGCATATGAACCCATTGGACTACCAGCATAAGCAACAAGATCACCCACCTTTCTGCCAGTTAATCCAGGACCTACAGCTACCACCTCTCCAACTGCTTCCATTCCTAGTAATCCCCCAAACAGAAAGAAAACAGAAAAACGGCTTAACGGAGAGGTAATTCAGTCGCAAGAAATGCAGTCATGAAAACATACTTCGGACAAATGTCATACCTAAGCAACATAAACATTTGAGAACTCCACGTAACTGCCCTAACTACTGATATGCTTACATATTCACATGCCCATCAACACACAATAGATGATAAGATTAAGTCAAATAACATTTTTTAACCAAGACAAATGCCTCCCCCCCAACAAAAAAAAAAATGTAAATATAACAGGTTAGTGGATAGCATTATGGACCAAAAGAATATTCAAATTGCAGAATGGAGACCATGGGGCTCTGCACAGCCCAGTATAAAGCATATTGGAGCCTTTGGAGACTAAATTAGTGTTCCTGTTGAGTCATAAGACTCATAACTAAGCAAGATATGATACCTAAAGGACTCTTTTTCACCATAATTCTCATTGGAACATTCAAATGAACAGACAAAACATTCCATAAAGAATAAAAAAAAAAAAAACACTCACACCATTGAAATTTTGAGGTTTGCATGCATATCAGTTGGTATCTTGAAAGAATTGCAGAGAAGCTGCTTCCTTTAATCTCAAGGCATACATCACTTTACTGGAATGAATTTGTTATCATAACTAAATAAGCAACAATAAGATCAAGCAATATATCTACACCATTGATGGGGTGGTTCAAATGGACAGTCCTTCCCAAGAGTCCAGAACCGGTAAAAACCAGAAGAGGGGGTCAGACAAATTGCACAGACGATCAAAAGTAATAGGCAAACCTGGAGTATAGGGCATTGTTGGACTCTTATAAACTCCCTTGCGGAAGTAAATATCAATAAAATTAAGCCCAATTGCTTTATTTTTCACGCGGATTTCACCCTCCTTTGGTTCTCCTACTTCTACATCCTCCCACTTCAATACCTACAAACATAGCGTCATCAAGTCAAGTTCAGCCAATAAATTCAGCATCAAATATACATACATATAAATCGGAAAAAAAAAAAAAAAAAAAAAAATGAATCTAACATTTTCAGCTTCTTAATTAGCATACAAGAAAAATTAAAACTAAGATTCACAATCTCCCTGTCATATTCAACAAGAAAATTACACAAGTAAAATCACCAACTGTATATAAGAGCATGATCATCTGCAAAGGTGACGAAATTTCAGGGATCAATCACTGCCTCCACATGAAGAATTGGAGAAGTATTGGAAACTCTCTCAATTGAAGAGTAGATGCATTATAAATAAGTCATGTGAAATATATTCACAAATAAAGTTCATAATCTTAAGAACACAGGTGCATATGCATAAAATTTAAGGGAGAGAAAGAAAAGGGAATTATATTTACATCACAAATTGTAAATTTTCGAATTTCAACCAAAAACAAAAAATGCTTACTTGGGAGTTGGGGCAAATTAACAAACAGGTAGAGTGCATTTGCATAGCACAAAAAGAAAGATCAATAGTTTGTCATCAAAATGCAAACTTTCAGAATTTCATCAGAATATAAGCTTAAGTTTGAACCATCAATAATTGATAATTAGCTCATTTGGGCATAATATCAAACAGGTAGAGTGCACATATAAATTATTAAGAGAATAGAAAATGAACCTCTGGACCGCCAAATTCATGAACCCTAATTGCTTTCACCATTGTTTTTTCGGTTGAATTTGAACAAGCTCTAACTTTGTTCAATTTGATTGGATTTATAATGGTAATTGATCGGAATAAGTTTTTATTTGAGGGAAATGAAGAACATGGTAGAAACCCAGTTTTATACTTGTGTAAGATTAAGGATGATCTAGAATTCGATAATGATGGATTATGATGATAATTTGGTACTAATCCTAGCCTTAAACACCCCATTTATTTGGTTAACTTGTATTTTCTTGTTAATCATATGTTTTGGGTTCTTAATGGACCATACACTTGTTTAGTTATCTTGACTTCATTGAGTCTTTTTTATTTCTAACTTAAGTCTACTTGTTTCAGTATTTTCTTTTTATAATTAATATTTTTTTGGTTGATACTTGATAGTATAGTTTAGTTTATCTACCCAATTCTCATTTTACTTGCTCTGTTTTGATGAAAAGCATTTAGACTGACTGGTTTAACGGGTAGGTAATGCGGAGTATGAGATTTACAGACTTTATTGCAAGTCTTTTTTAACTTGGAAATTTATCTTCATATGTCCTAGTAGGCTAGTAGTGTACATTGAATTAAATTATCAGGCTTTGTATGACAATTTTTGTGTATGTACTTATGAGTTATGATATTAAATTGCTCATTTGAGTCAGTTTGAAACTTGGGTATTAAGTATAACCTTACAAACAACCTACTATTTGAGCATCACTTAATTTTTAATTCCCCTAAACCTTTTACATAAACAATTGAGATATATATCGATCATCTTCGGCCTTATATAAGTCACCGGTTTTCCTCGTATCCGGCCTATTTCATATAAGTGAATAAGTGACGGCTGGAAGAGTAACAATTATATATAATGGCAATGTGGCATAGTTTGTGACAATATGTTGCATGTGACACCTACAATTGAGTCAAGTTATTAAGTTAGATTATAAATTTTAGAAATCATGAACACAATCTCGTTACATGACAAAAAATTAAGTAAAGAATTACATTTATTTAACTTAAACACTTGCTATACTAACTACGGAGTAACTAATAATAAGTTAGACATATATCTACATCAGGTATTGAAATATAGACACATAAATACATAATCTATAGCACTTCAAGTCAATGGTCAACATTAGCTTCATAATCTTGACAGCAAAATATGAGATGCTTAAACTTCTTTGAATCTTCTCAAATTCATGATATGACCATAAAATATATACTTGAATGATGTTTAAGACTATGACAATGATATTGATAGCATACTAGCAAAGTAGCAATGCTACTAGAGTACTAGTCAAGGAAGTCTGCGGCAAGCACAATGTAATAACGTAACCTCACAAACAAGTGAAACAACCTACTACAACATGAACACTATCTACTGATCATCTTCGACCTTGATTCAATCATCCTCGCCCTCGGCCTTGGCCTTGTTCATACAAGTGATGGCAGGTGGTGTAGCAGTTATAAGTCCCGCCGGAGGTGATAATTATAATGGCAAGGTGACATGGTTTGTTATAATATCTTGCATGATGGCTGCTATGGGAGGAGTACTTTTTGGTTATGACATTGGAATTTCAGGTTTTTCTTTTTTACAACTTTTTGCAACTTTTGATTTCCATGTTACATACTTGTCAATTTTCATCTCAATTTTTCAAGCATATATAATAAGGTCTTGGCTTTATGTTATTACTTAGAAAATTAATGAGCTATATAATGTGTATCGAATTTGAAGGTGGAGTAACATCAATGGAGCCATTTCTAAAAAAATTCTTCCCAAGTGTGTATGAACATATGAAGGAAGACACCAAAATTAGCAACTATTGCAAATTCAACAGTGAATTGTTGACTTCATTCACATCATCTCTTTATGTTGCTGGCTTTGTTGCATCCTTCTTTGCTTCAACCATCACCAAAGTATACGGCCGCAAGCCATCCATTCTAATAGGGGGTTTAGCATTTCTTGCTGGCTCTGCTGTTGGTGGTGCTGCTATCAATATATACATGCTTATACTCGGCCGCCTATTGCTTGGTGTTGGAGTTGGTTTCGCCAACCAAGTATGTATGATTATTGACTGAATTTTGTTTCTTAAAGATATGAATTTATTTTATAACATTTATACTTTTTTGTACAGTCTGCTCCATTATATCTGTCAGAAATGGCACCCCCAAAGTACAGAGGAGCATTTAACAATGGCTTCCAACTTAGTGTTGGCATTGGGGGTTTGACAGCAAACTTGATCAACGTTGGTACCGAGAAAATCAAAGGCGGGTGGGGATGGCGAGTCTCCCTAGCCACGGCTGTGGCTCCTGCTATAATCTTAACTGTTGGGGCACTTCTTCTGCCTGAAACACCCAACAGTTTGATCCAAAGAAGCAAAAATTCTGAGGCTTCTACTGATCCTAATGAAAATGTTCTTCTGCATAAAGCAAAGCTCACATTGCAAAGTGTACGAGGTACAACTGATGTTGAGGCAGAACTCGATGATCTGATACACGCGAGTAGCACAATTTCTGAAAAAAAGCATGGCAGTTCATTCAGCCAAATCCTGCAACGCAAATACAGGCCACAACTCATAATGTCAATAGCTATACCATTTTTTCAACAGGTGACAGGAATCAATGTTATCGCGTTTTATGCTCCCTTACTATTTCGTACTTTAGGTCTAGGAGAAAGTGCATCACTCCTCTCTGCAGTCATGACAGGGGCTGTAGGAACAGCCTCAACTTTCATATCAATGCTAATCGTTGATAGATTTGGAAGACGAGCTTTGTTCATCTTCGGAGGAGTTCAGATGTTCATCTGCCAGATTGCTATAGGAACTATTATGGCAACACACCTAGGAGATCATGGTGGGATTAGCAAAGAATACGCTTATTTGGTGTTGGTACTCATATGCATTTATGTAGCTGGTTTCGGGTGGTCTTGGGGGCCATTAGGATGGTTAGTCCCTAGCGAAATCTTCCAGCTTGAAATAAGATCTGCAGGACAAAGTATTACAGTAGCAATTAGTTTTATCTTCACTTTTATCATAGCTCAAACATTTTTAGCTATGCTTTGTTGTTTTAAAGCTGGGATTTTCTTCTTTTTTGGTGGGTGGGTTTTGGTTATGACTGGGTTTGTATACTTGTTTTTGCCAGAAACCAAGGGTATTCCTCTTGAGAAGATGAATCATATTTGGAGGGATCATTGGTTTTGGGGAAAATTTGTTGGTTAAATTTACTTACAAAATACAAAAACAAACTAGATAGAAGACAATGGTTACAAATAGTACTTGTACGATTTGTCATTTTGGTAAAGACCGTATATTATATGGAATTTGTGAGATCTGATGATAGATATTATGCATTAAATTGAATTACATAATCAAACTACTCAATAACTATCTTTGTTTTTTTTTTTTTTTTTTTTTTTTTTTTTGGCATGTGTTTGAAGAATCCTAAGAATATATATACCACAGATAACTTATTGAAGGTCTAAAAAGATGTAATTTTACAATTAACATGAAAAACAATAAGCAAGCAATGTTAGCCAATAGTGAAACTAGTGAACATTTTGAAGGTCTGCATACTCCAAGTCAGCAAGCTCCTCTAATCCCTCAAATGGCACCTTGTTGCAATGCAACCTTGAGTAGCAAAAATTAAGAATGCAATATATGAGTAACTAAGACAATTTATAAAAATAAAAAAAAAGAAATTCAAAATTTAAGTGGGAAACTACATATGAATGTGAAATCAGCTAGAATATATATATATAAAAAGAACTTCAAAATTTAAGGGAGAAAATACCTATGAATGCGAAAGTAGCTGGAAATTGAGTTCTAGATCCTTGCAAAACTAACGAGTTTCCGATTGTTTAGCAAAGTATATAAGTCAAATTTGTGAAATTTCGCTACTAGTGTACGATTGTGGATGGGCATTTTAAAATCCGGTGAATTCTAGGAAGGAAAAAATCTTTATAAATGTGGGCAAAATAATAAAGAGGTGTTTAACTGTTTGGTAAAGAAACAAAATTAGCTTATTTTTCCAATACTCTGTATTATTTTTTACACGGAGTATTTTTTTTTTTTTGGGCAGAATTTCCCCTCATTGCAATGAAGAGCTTCGACCACTCAACCTCTCAGAAGATTAGTCATTGTTTAACCATCTAAAATACTTATCACTTATGGTATAACTTGCACACAATTTAATTTAGTACTACAAAAGTATTGAAAACACATATAAAGTGTTAAATATCTTTTAATTAACAGTTGCACAATAAAAAGACTAGCAACCTAAGGCAACGCCCGGGTTATACACTAGTTATTACATTACTACGGGCCTGTTCCGATTTACTGAAAACAATTGAACGAAACTGAACTGATTGGAGCTGAACTGAATTGAATTGAATAGAGTTGAAATGAATTGTTTATGAGAGAAGGAAATTAGGAACTGAACTGATTGGAGCCGAACTAAACTACACTGAAATTTTACTGAACAGAACAGGTCATACAAGTATAAGCTAATTTACGGTGTTTGGTGGAAAGCTACTCCGTAATAAGCTTTTTTACGATAATGATCAACTTCCACCAAATAAGCTTTTTAAAATAAGTTTAGCTTGAGAGAGTTGTTAGGAGATCATGGTGGGTTTAGCAAAGAGAATGCTTATTTGGTGTTATTGCTCATATGCATTTATGTAACGGGTTTCAGGTGGTCTTGGGAGCCATTAGGATGGTTAGTCTCTAGCAAAATCTTTCAGCTTGAAATAAGATCTGCAGCACAAATTATTACAGTAGCGGTTAGTTTTATCTTCACTTTTATCATAGCTCAAACATTTTTAGCTATGCTTTGTTGTTTTGAAGCTTGGATGTTCTTCTTCTTTGGTGGGTGGGTTTTGGTTATGAACTTATGACTGGGTTTGTATACTTGTAAACTTGTTTTTGCCACAAACCAAGGGGTATTCCTCTTGAGAAGATGGATCGTATTTGAAAGGATCATTGGTTTTGGGGTAAAATTGTTGGTTAAAAAATTTCTTAACATGTACAAAACACGTAATATTATATGGAGTACGATTTATCATTTTGGCAAACATTGATTATTATATGGAATTTTTTTATTTATGATGATAGATCTTATGCATTCATTTAATCACTTGAGCTGTATAATCATAATAAACAAGCAGTCAAAAATACCAAACTTCTATTTAACAAATGTTGTTAGCCAAATATGTTTTTATCTTTTAAATACCATTCTAATTAGAGGTGTCAATTCGGATGTTCGAGTCGGGTTTAGTGAGGTCGGATTGGATCGGGTCTCATTTCAAACTTGAGTCATGCTAAATCATTATGACCATGCAAATAGAAATTTGAACTGAATAATTTTTGAATTGATTTTAAATTAGGTCGATTAGGTCAAATTTTGACACTTCTAATTTCAAGCTAATTTTCCGAACTTGTAAGCTCTTAACCTTCTTCAACTATTGTAATTTGTAACCAACGGATGTACATAATAGACGTAAAAGGTAAAACTGTAAAAGGATAAAAATGTTAAAGCCCTACTCTTAGACTATTCCAGGATTCCAGCGCAAATCCAAGCCATCATATCTAGCAAACGTCGTCGTTTAATGTCTTACTGCGCTTACTCTTCCAGTTGTTCAATTTCTTTGAATACTAAAATTCATGAAAATAATTGCTTTTTTAAAAAAAATCAAAATAAAAGTCCGAATTCAAAATTCGAAAATCAAAGTTTCCACTAATCACCTATTTCCCCTCCACCAAATCAACCCTACTTGGTGGCGATTTACTGGATTATTCCATTCTAGCTGCTGGTATTTATTTTTATTATTATTTTTTGTTTTTTCTGAATTTCTTTTACCTGATTAATCGATAATTCATTTATATTTTTTCCTCGATTTCCATGATTGTTGAAGATTTTAGCAAGAACCATTTGTAAAGAAAGAATTTACAGAAAATAAAAATTGTTTTTTTTGCTATTCAAGCTCTTTTTTTTTTTTTTTTGCATTTTTTGTTCCTGTTGAATTACATGTTCTAGGTTAGATGATGTTATGAAATGGGTAGAAGTTTGTATCCTGTATTAGTTGATAAAATTCTATTTTTAGATGTTATTGGAATCATTTATGATACATCACCAAAGTTCAAAATTGTTGTGTTTGATCTACTGTTATAAATTTCACTAATTGCTTTTAATCTTTTTAGTTTTAGTTAATCAACAGTAGTGTGGATTGTGGAGATGCTGAAAATAGGTTTCTGTGATCGGCTGGTGTCGAAAAGAATTGAATTTTTGAATTAGGGCCGATAGGTGGTTGAACAAGAATTGGACCCAAATTGATCATGTTGAAGTTTCCAGTACCGAAGCGATTTGTAACAGTTAATCTTTGCTTGTGGTTGAACAAGTAGGAATAGAATTAATTGGCCTAGTGGAAAAAAGATAAGGGCATATGGCTAATGAAGAATTATAGTATTTTACACATTATTGCAACTGTTTGTGACTTATAGGAAACTTGTTCTTTATTTCTTAGACAGCTTGTTTGGGTTTGTAAGAGATAATTGATGAGCTATCGTTTAGGAGTACATTTTGTTTGGGATTGGAGGAGGTACTGAACAAAGTGTTGGTTTAGGATGCAGTCAACATATGTTGATATTTTGGGTGTGTTTATGACAGGTACAGCTAATAACACGCGTGGGTAGGTGTACGTGTGACTTTTGGGTTGAAACTCAATGCCTTCTATGATATCTCCTCAGTGGCAAGACAAGGCTAGTGGGTTTTTTTCTGCCTCAGGTAGATTCTGTTCCTTTAAGTTATTAGATTCTAAGTGTGGTAATTGTAATGGGACTAATTGTTAGATTGGAGTAATAATGATCGATTTTGCAATTTAGGGGTTAAACTAAAGGAAGCTGGAAATCAGGCTGGATCTTTAGCTAAGGATGCAAAAGAGAACGTGGTTGATGCAGCTGAACGAGTTGGTTCTGTGGTTAAGAGTAAATGGTCACTGTTCCAGCAACCATCTACTAAGCAAGCTGTGCAGGAGCGGTTTCTTTCAGCTGCTGCTTCAACAAGCTTTTTCTTAAGGAAAGGAATCTCTGAGACCAAAGACAAAGTGACTATAGGAAAAACAAAAGTTGAGGAGGTATCATGATGTGTATCACTTTCTTATGCCTTTCTGTGATTTCCTGTTAGTTCTAGCAATTTATGCATACTTTGTGCTCAGATTTTTTTAGTCTCTAGGTGGTATCTGCTTGTGCTAAGGTGGTGAACTTATCTTGTAGTATTGCACTCTATTATGCGATAAATTGAAGCTTAGGCCGTCATATATTTACAAGTTGGAGCTTACAGAATGTTAATATTCATTTAGTTTCTATAGACCAATCTTGGACACATGAAGCCTATTTTAGCTTATACTATGCGAACCAGGTTTATCTGTTGCTGCAAATCTTTTAATTTAGTTTTAGGATATGTCTTTGGTGTTTTGAGGTATCAAAATGTACTTGTCTTTTTATTGATGTCATTTCATGGCAATTCTGCAGGTGGCAAAGAAAACTGCTCAAAGAAGTAAATCCTTTATATCAGATATTGAAAGATGGCAAAAGGTTTAATTCTCTAGTTGTTTTTTAATTCAGGATTGGGTTTTTAGGTAAGGCTTTTAGAATCTTACCTTCAATTGTTTCTCTGTTTTCTTGCAGGGTGTTGCAAGTAGTGATGGTATGCATTTATCTTCATTACTTTTAGTGGTTTTTTTTTTTTTTTTTTTTTTACAATAATCTGTATGTGCTGCCTGATAAATTTCTCATTATTTTTTGCTTTTCCTTGAGATTAGTGTTTTTTTTTTTTTGGTTTTTGTTTTTGTTTTTATTTGTTTTTTGGAAATTAAGAACTTCAATGTAAGACTGAAGTATGGTAAAGCTTTTAATTCTGGTCTGTCGTCTTAATTTAATACTATGCTGACTAATTTGTATGTGATACTGATTAATTAAGTATTTAGATCTGCCCTGCATAATAACTTCATAGATTAGGTTTATTGGGGATGTTGTGTTAACACTCAAACATAGTATAGGGAATCAGAGTGGGAAGCTTCTTTGAGGCTTTGGGCCCCCACTTTTTAACTTGTTGAAGTCACAAACTCACAATTTAGGGAAGTGGAAGATTACAGTTTAGTTGGAAATTACAAATGTTGCACTGTATTTTGGTTCAATTTAAATGAGCTTAACTCTTTTAAAGATAATATCGTCTCTCTGACTTTCCACTTTGATTTTTGGGTGGAGTTCGGAGAATGACCTTAGTTCACTCTTAGGACTTATAAGTAAGACTATTGCAGTTTCTGGAGGAGAGAGATAGGAACTTT